TTACATAAATGGACTTAGAGACAAAAATCATATGATCTCAATAGATGCAGATAAGGCCTTTGCCAAAATCCAATAGACCTTCATGATAATAGTCCCATAGAGTAGGACAAGAAGGAACATACCTCAACACAATAAAAACTCTATATGAGAAACCAACATCATCCTAAATAGAGGAAAACTGAAGCAATCCCACTGAAGTCATAAATGAAACAGGGCTCACTCCTTTTTAATAATTGTGTTCCAAGTATTAGCTGGAGCAATAAGTAAAGAGAAGAAAATTAAAGGGAGACAAATAGGAAAATAGAAATCAATACTGTTTAAAGAAAATCTCCTGTTTATAGTATAGGCATTTATTTGTTTTATAAATATCCTCCAAATTCATTTGTGAATAAAAATTAGTATTAAGCATTCTTAATCTGAAAGTAATTACTTTTGTTTACATTGTGCATCAGGTCCTACTCTGTGAATGAGGTGCCTTTCTTCTGTATTCCTCTTCCATAATGAGGTGCCATGAGAACTGAAAGATAGATTTAAGCTTCAGTGTATATATTAGATTTCCCATTAAAATATCTTTGTCTGCAGTATGTACTTCATAGATTTTAAAGTACAATTTTTGTAAAATTAGGAATTCAGACATGTTCTTAGAAATCACATAAGACCTTTCTGAAACATGTAACAATACTCATTTGACAGAGTGTGTCTGATGCTAATGGACAGCAAGAAACTTCCATGGAAGCTCCGCATTCATCCAATATGAACAATGATGCAGAAGAAAATGTAGTAAGGCATCTAGAGAAAAGTAAGTAGTACATTTTTTTTTGGAAAGGAAAGGGTTTATTTTGCTTATACTTTCAGGTCCCCTCCTTTCATAACCATCAGTTGGGGCCTCCAAAGGCTCTTCCTCATTCATGCTGGAATCTTGACTGCCTTGATCTTGTGCAAGTCTACTGTAAGACACGTAGCTGCTTTGAGTTGATCTGCACATTCACATCACGCATTCTGATCCCACTTATCTCCCTGTCTCCTCACATCCACCCTCTGCCCTTGCAACCTCCCCCACAAAAAAAAAAAAAAAATTTAAAGAAATACTGAAAACCAAACAAAACAAAAATAAACATAAAAACAAAACAAAAAAAGGAAAGAAAAGAAGACTCTTGTGGAAGCTGCAGCGTGGCTGGTTGAGAGTTTACTCTTTAGTCCATTCATCTTTACTTGCAAATGTTCATTGCCAGGAGTCACTGGTCTGGCTCAAGGCCTCTGGTTTCTGCCATACCACCAATAATGGACTCTCACTGAGATTCCTGCCAGAGGACTCCTGTGGTCCTGTGTCGTGAAGCTCATGCTGTTTTGGATCTGTAGGTTTGTCCTCTTCATATGCTCCGACAGTTCATAAATGGGATGGATGTTGGGGTGGGCCAACCCATAGCCCTGGTTCTGGGCCTGGATGTGGGCCTGGGGTAAGCTGGTTGGTCAGCTTGCTAACTTTCCCTCATCGTCACTGCCCAGATGAGCTCTCCAGCACTGCCTCGACTAATTAGGTGAGCTGGCTCACCTAATGCAGCACATGACAAGGAGCAGGCATCATTCTCCTGCTCTTGGGCCCTCAGATCCGGGTCCCACTCACTCACATCACCAGAACCAGCTCTACTGTTTGGCCCAGGCAAGGTGCAAGGCCCTCTCTCCCGATTGCTCTAGTGGGGCATATGAGGCGGGATGGGGGGAGGGGTGCGGGTGGGGGGTATGTCAGCTCTCCTGCCCTCAAGCCCTCAGTGCCGGCTCACCTGTGACCCTGACAACAGGGCCAGCTCTAGTGTGCTGTCCTGGTGAGGTGCAGGGCTCATTTTCTCACTCTGATGACTCTGGGGCCAGCCCTTGCCTGCCACAGGTAACAAAGGGCATACATAGGGAGAGGGCTTCTTTCCCTCACCCATGACCACATGCATGGGAAATGATGGGGTGGGGGCGGGGTCAGCTCGGTTGCTCTCACACTCTCAGGGCTGGCTCACTTGCATCCCCACACCAGGTCAGTCAGCTCTAGTGTGCTGCCCAGACAGGGTACAGAGCCTGCTCTCTTGTGTGCTACAGCCATGGAGGGTCAGGGCTAGCTCTCCCACTTTTGTGACCTCAGGGCCAGCTCTTTCACCTGCTGCGGATGGTAATGGGGGAGGGGAGAAGGCATCTTTCCCTCTTACATGCCACCTACCACATAGCAGACACGAAGGGGCAGGCAGGGCCAGCTCTCCAGAACAGGATTGTTTTGAATTAGCTTATTCTGTTTTGTTAGGAAAATGATATCAGAGTAAATTAGGGTGCACTTTTTGTAAATGCTTCAGGCTGGTGCTTGTCTGCATCTGTGTGTGTTGCAATGTACATATCAGTTAGTTCAGTGCTGTTGATCAGTCATTGATTCAGGTCTGTAGCTACAAATACACAATATAACATTAATACATGCTTTCTTTTGTCCTTATCGTGCACAATTAACATATTTTAAGAACCTTTTCCTAAACTCCTCTAGAGCAATTCTTGCAAGCTCTAAATGCAAAGTTCTCAGATCCATACAACTTGTATGCTCTCGTTTCTTTATTTGTAAATGTTTATACTTTGTTTTATTTTTGTTAATTTTTCTTATTATTGTTAATATTTCTGTTTAGGGATTTTCTTTTTTAGTTACACAACACATCACAAAGCACCTAACGAGTTTTTTCACCATAGCAAAATGTGCAACAGAAAAAGACAATGTAACACAAACACCATAAAATAGTTCATGTGGGCCATTCACACCTAACATCAAGGGATAATGAGAGTCCAGTTCTGCACGGCTTCAGATTTGTAGGTTATTGACGTTCTGTTTCGGGTTCTGGACTGCGATCATTTTATATATTCAGTATTCCTGAATAGCCCCTTAATTCAGTCCTGAAACACATCACTCTCTAGTCTTACCTTCTCTTAAACCATTTCCCTAACTTACCTGTGCCACATTCAGTCTTCAGCGACATGTAGAACGATCTGCTTGCACTGTAATTGTAAACGCGAAGGTCCAAGCATGTAGAAATTACACATTAGACTTACATAACCCGAGTCCTTCCCAACACTGCATAGTGAGCCCTTTCTCTACCTGGGCTATCCTAGGCCAACCACAGGAAAAGCAACACCCCTTTACCTTTCACATGTTGGTGCATATAGAACATTCTGACATGTAGTATGCGACAAAGTGTATAGTTTACAAATTATTACTTGGGAAAACGAGAATAAATTTTTATGCATTATAACAATGAACAGCTTTTTATCTAAAAGCTCGTTGTAGTTAGCTTAGTGACAAGCTCTATGCACCTGTCAACAGAAACTGTCATGGAAGACCAAAAGCAGACCTCAGAAGAAGAGCAGAAACAGCACAGTGGTGGAAAAACTAAGCGGTCATTTGTGAGTAAATCTTTAAATTTAAATTACACACTTTATGCTGTTTCCACAATAATGTTCCATAGGCCAAATAAGGTTAAATTTAATATCACTTTTAAAATTAATACATCAAAAGGAAATGTTGTTTTAGATAACACTTTTATTTAGTCTTTGAGACCTTCATACACCACTGACTCCCTCCAAATAATCCTGATACTCATCAATCTTCTTCTGGGCTTAATGTCTTTTTAAAAAATATTATTAATAGCCTGCTGAGTCCAATTAGGGCTGAGCATCTGTGCATGTGTGAAGACACCTGCTGGGACACGAGCAACCTGCCAGCAGCCACAAGCCCACAGATAAATTAGTCTCCTCCTTTCACAACCATCAGTTGGGGCCTCCGGAGGCTCTTCCTCATTCATGCTGGAATCTTGACTGCCTTGATCTTGTGCAAGTCTACTGTAAGACACGTAGCTGCTTTGAGTTGATCTGCACATCAGCTACGTCATGTCCCCAAAGGAACATTTCAAAGTACTTCTCTCCAAATTCAGACTCTTACATATTTTTTCTGATCATTCTTCCTCAATGTTTCCTGAACTTTCAGTAGTGGGAGGTTAAAACAAATGACCCTTCTGCAGATGAGCACTCATAGTGGCTTATTCTTATCATGTTAAATAGTTAAGAGTCTCTGCATTAACCATGTCCTCTGCAAAAAGAATCCTCTGACTAAGGTTGGGAACAGAACAAACCTATGGGTATAAACCTAAGTAATAGTAATAGTAGATTCTCCTCATGCAGCCTCTGGCTTTCCCAGGCAAAAGCTTTTGACAAAGTTTATAGCACCAGACATTAATATAAGTTAAGCCATCCTGTGCAGCAAGTCTCACATTCAGTCAGAATGTGGCTGGTTTTTCACATAACCGCCATGCAACCATTGTAGACAGCTTGCCTAGCCAGCCGGTGTTGTTATGTGAAAGGTCCAGGACTGGATAAGTCCATTGATACATTTCACCACCCAGGGTCTGAAGCACACCTTCTATTGCTGTGAAAGCCAGAGTTTTCTTGTTAGTTAGGGATTGATTTCTGAATGGCCTGTAACCAGACTGTGTGCTATCTTCAGCAAGGGAGTCTTATCAGTTAGTTATGAAAAACAACAATCTGTAGCAATAATGTGTGTTCTCATAAGGAGGTATCCTGCCCTTGGTTCTTGGAATTTCACCAGAAAAAAAAAAAAACAAAAAACAAAAAAACCAAAAAATGCATGACTCCTGAGGGAGGTCAACACATTCCAGGTACCTCTCAACAAACCCTTTTTAGTTTGTTTAAACATATTTTAAAGTAGTTTGCAAACTAGTAGCTTCCACAAGGCTTCCTACAGCCTCGGTTTATGTTCAGTTACACCTCACTCCGTGCTCCCACTTACTCTCTCACCCTTGAACCTTTAGCCCAGCATAGGCTCCCAGTGTTGCTTCCTGTCAGCCGTGTCCTGCTGCTCTTCTAAATATTTATTTAATTTTCATGGTCAGTGGTTTCTATATAGCTTTTTCTTAGCCCTTCATTTTTATTAAGCATTTCCTCTCCCCCATCCTCCACCCTTCCATGATTGAAACTATCAACACCCAGTATGCCCCTTCTCTGGTTTGATTTTACCTGTATTTTACTATCTCCATATCAATCCATAATACGCCACATCTAATTATGTGGCTTCCTCATGTCATCCAAGTTAAACGTACAAGAGTCTAGGATGCGCACATGAGGACAACATATGAAATTTGTTTTTCTGATCCTGGCTGGCCTCAGTGAGTAAAACTTTTTCTAGTTTCATTAATTTACTTGTAATTTTTATTATTTCATTTTTAATTACAGCTCAGTAATATTCCATTTCATATATATACCACATTGTCCTTATCTATTCATCTGCTGATGGATATCTAGATTGATTATATATCCTAGGGCTTGTGAATGGGATTCTTTGCTTGATTTCTTTTTTATTCAGATATTCATTATTGATTTCAGTGTTCATTTTGTAGGCTGCTAATCTGCTAAAGTATTTATCATCTGTAAGTTTTTTTTTTGTGTGTGTGTGTGGAGTCTTCACAGTCTTTACAGATGTTAAAATCCTACCATCTGTAAGTTCAGACATTTTGAGTTCTTTGACTGTGTCCTTTAATTTTCTTCTTGTCTTAATGCTCTAACCAGGACTTCAGCTCTTTATTGAATATATATGGAGAGAGTGAACAATCTTTGTCTTGTTTTTCATCTTAGTGCAAATGTTTTTATTTTTTCCTCTATTTACCAAAATGTAGGTCATAGACTTGTTGTATATAGCTTGTATAATTTTTGATATATTCTCTATCCACATCTAACCTCTCCACAACTTTTATTATTAAGGTTCAAATGTTCAAATTTTGTGTCTTTCCTGCATATATTGAGATGATCATGTGGTTTCTTTCCTTCTATTTATGTGATAGGTAATATCTATTGATTTACATACTTTGATTTCTCCCTGCATTCTGGGATGAAGTAGAGTTGGTCATGATGAGTAATTTTTTTTTGTTTTTTTTTTGTTTTTTTTGGTTTTTCGAGACAGGGTTTCTCTGTGTAGCTTTGCGCCTTTCCTGGAACTCACTTGGTAGCCCAGGCTGGCCTTGAACTCACAGAGATCCGCCTGCCTCTGCCTCCCGAGTGCTGGGATTAAAGGCGTGCGCCGCCACCGCCCGGCTGAGTAATCTTTTTTATGTGTTCTTAAATCCACTTTGCCAGTATCTTTTTTTATTTTAATTTTTATATGTATGTTTTGTCTGCATGTATTTTGTGCATCACATGTGTGCCTGGTATACTCAGAGGCCAGAAGAGAGCATCAGATTCCCTGGAAATAGAGTTACAGACAATTATGAACTGTGATGCAGATGATGGGAATTGAACCTAAGTCCACTGCAAGAGTGGTCAGCGATCATAAATGCTGAGCCATTTCTCCAGCCCCAGTTTGTCAATATCTCATTTAGAAGTTTTGCATCAGTGTTAATCATGGAAATTGATCTGTGGTTTTCTTTTCTTTTTGTGTGGTGTCTTTATCTAGTTTGGGTATCAAGGTAATACCAGATTCATAAAAAGAATTTAGGAGATGACCTTTCTTTTTCTATTTCATGAAATAATCAGAGTAACAAGGGTGTAAATTCCTCTTTGGGGTTCTGTAGCATTCTGTAACTAATTCATCTGGTCCTGGGCATTTTTTAGTTGATAAACATTTTGTTACTTTTTCAATTTTGAAAGTGGTTATAGACATACTTAAATCACCTCTTTCATCTTGACTTAATTTTTGTTATATAGAATGAATGTAGAAATACATCCATTTCTTAGAGATTTTACAATTACATGGAATGGAGATTTTTAAAGAATGTGTTTTGTGATTTCTGAATTTCATTGTAATTTGTTTTAATGCCTCCTTCATTTCTTACTTTACTAATTTGTGTTTTCTCTCTCATTTGGATAAGGATTTTTTTCAATCTTATTTATCTTTGCAAAGAATCAATTTTTCATTTCATTAATTTTTTTGGAAATTTTTGGATTCTGTTTTATTAGTTTCATCCCTGATTTTGATGAGCTTAGTTAGAATGGCTTCAGTATAGTTACAATCATTCTTTTGAATCCTTTGTCCTGAAGTTCATCCATGTCATTCTCTTTGGAGGTCTCTATTACATGATCAGTAATTTTTGGAGAAAATGTTTTAATTTGTTAGTCAGATTTTTCTTCCCCTTTTTCTTTTTTTTCAAGTCACTTTTTATGTTCCAGTGGAGGCATCTAAAGTGATCTGGAGGTACTAAAACTTGATAGGACTGAGATGCGATATTCCCTCTCTGTCACTGATGTTGAGGACCACAAGCTCGAGCACCGGCATCTGTCTAATGCCTAGAACAGGGTTCCTGTATCAATACAGGTGGTGCCTCACAGGTGAAACCTAGCCACCTGGAGGAATGGTTCAAATCAGGGGAATGAGAGTCTCTCACCTGGTTCTGGAGGTTGCCAAGTATCATCGGTGGGGCTAATCTCTAGAAAGCAGGGCCTCTCACTTGGTGCAGGAGGTCATGCTGCCTGGGATCCTGAAGGAAAATCCTTGGGCCTCATGTTGGTGTAGGAGACCATCCAGGTCAGGCCCCAAGACAAAATTCACAGTGTTCTTATGTGGCCACAAGGGGAAGTCAGGATCTCTTATGTGGTTCTAGAGTTTCAGGGACAGTAGAGGTAACCCTGAGCCTAGAAGCCAGAGCCCCTCACTTAGTGAAGGAGTCCTAGTAGGCTTGGCCCTTGGGGGCCTCTATTCTAGTAATATTGTAATTTATCCTAAACTTGAAAATATACTTAAAATATACAATAACTCATAGTTGTATTTTTCAGTTGGATGGAATGGTTTAAATCTTTCATAATATTGTTTGGATTTTCATTCTATAAACTCCTTATTTCATACAATCTCTTTCAGAGCATGTATAAATCTCTATAACAATTTCTATAAGAGCATGTTATTGTGCAGGTTGTACTATAAGCCATAACTCTTCCCTCCACGACAAGAAATAGAAGAGAAAACATAGAGAAAGGAAGTTGAGTTATATTTTATTTTAAAGGACATTAGAAAGCATGTTTATCTAAAACATGCACTCAGTCTTTTTGCTCAGAAATATGGATAAATATGGATAAACGCCATGATGGATAAAAAGAGTTAACTATCAATGTAATGTTTATCTCACGAGTCAACAGGCTAAAGCAAGACTGTCATGAGAGAGATATAGACAGATGGACAGAAAGATAGACAGACAGACAGACAGACAGACAGACAGATAGATAGATAGATAGATATACATATACATACATATGGATATATGGTTATAGATGTGTGTTTATGTTTTGGGTCACATTGCAACAGTTCAGGAATATTAGGAAACAAGGCAGGAAAAAAGAATATGAGCAGTTTCAAACACAGAAAGTAAATGAAGGAAAATGGAGCAGCATGTATGTTGGAAGGTGAGAGAATATATTCTTCAGAAAAGGAATAGAAAGGTGTTGTAAATTTAATGAAAATATTAATGAGTTTATAGTACAAAGCTTTCATTCATAAGGAGAAAGTTATTCCTAAACTCCATCCATGTTTTCCTCATTGTTATCAAGAACTAGAGTTAGGATCCAGTTTAGAGTTTAAGGCTAGGTTTAGTATTATGATTAGGCTTCAGAATATATAGTTAGAGTGGATTTAAGGTAAGAGTTAGGTATTAGTATTAAGGTTCACAGCTGTTATCATGGTGCACTATGGGGATATATAATTATTAAACAGAATGTTCATGATGGATGAAAGATGGATCATATAAAACATCTTTATTACACACACTACATTTTATATATAGTGGCATTTTATGAATGCTCCAACTAGCTCCTTACAGAGTAGTCCATATAGTTTTGTAAAGCATAAGAGAGCACTGTGCATTTTAAAATAGCTTATTCTCATCTTGGAACTAGGACAACCCTGCCACGATTGCCTGACACCTTCTCTGACCATCAATCCACAACAGGACAGCTGAGGAGGAAATCTGCCCTTCTCTACTAATTGTTTCAAGAAAAAACATGTGTTTATTTTGTGTTTTATTATATTATGTTATATTATAAATTATACTATTCTATTATCTTCAGTGTTTATTTCTGTGTGTTTATGTTTTATTGTTCTGTTACATTATTAGTAATCTTCAGTGTTTATTTTATATTTATGTATTGATGTAAATATTGTTTATGTGTATATGTTTATTTGATTTATAATATACATCTTTTTAAAAAGCATCATTTTGAGTGTCTAGAGTTATTGAATAAATATAATTAAGCTATCCATTCAAAGTTTTTTGAGTCCACTTGAGTCTGTAATTCCCTTAAGCTCTTCTAGTTACTAATGTAGTCCTACAGCACTTGAAGAAGGTCATTGATGGTCCAGTCACACCTACTTTATGTAAGTGAGCACTGCTTTAGTTAAACCACTGCATTGGAATATGTTTCTACATCATCATTTACAATTTGGTATAAATATATACACAGGAATTTTCTGTTTCAGAAACACTGCTTTAAATGAAAAAGTGTATGTGACATGCAAATATTTGGTTTTAAGATTGTCTAGGCCTCAGAACAAATCCTGATGATTATTTATTTTGAATAATATCTGTACAGTAGAATTCTTCTTTCATTGGTGGCAAGGATAGAAAGAGATGAGGAAATTTACTATGAAATTTTGTCTGTTCTCTGATACTGTATTAGTTCTTTAAATCATGTGACAAACACCTTTGACAAAGAAAGGATGGTTTTGTCACGTCATTTTAGAGAGTTTAAGTCCATCTGGATGAGAAAAGCATGGTGTAGTAATAACAAAAGATTTTTGGGTGCCTGCCCCAAAGAGCTTTCTCCCAGAGTCCACAGAAGAAACTACAACCAGTTAGGAAAACTACTTATCTGAGAGTAAAAATAAATCTATGCATTCCATGCTCTTTCATTCCATAACTTGATTGTTCTAAGTAAGCTTTCTGATCTCTTTGTTGTTCTCTTTGTTCTACAGCTTTGCTAAATCTACAGTTCTTTTCAGCTCTCATTCTTAGCTCCTCTCTTGCCTGACTATCCATAAATTTTTAACAGGAGAGTCCTTGCAATCCTGAGAAAAGTTTCAAAATCCTCAAGGTCATAGCACATCCCTAGAATAGACAGTAAGGAGCAGAGCATTACCATGGTAACGTGAGGTTTCAAGGTCTCAGGACTAGAGGGAGGAAGCACAGTGCCCAGTGCGACAAACTCTGAGACATAGCTTTTTATCAGCATACTTGACAAGTGAAGAATTGGCATGTTTTTCTTAGGGTGTTTTGTGTTAGTAACCTTGGTAGACACCTGCGACTCTGACCTTGTGCATAACTGTAAAGTTGTAAACTTATGATCTATATACAAAGGCCTTTAGTCTAGTTTGAACTTGCTCTGAGGTAAAAATAAACTAAATGTGTGCAGTTTGTGTTAGACTGAGGAGAGATTATTATATTCTGTGTTAGTCTGAGCAAAAGGAACAAAGCAGGATTTAAGTGTCTTCAGTCTCATGGGAAAATGGATCTGAATATGAAGCATATCCTAGTATATTTTCTACATATGAAAATTGTACAGCTAAATGAAAAAGGCACCTTCCTGACCACCCACAGGTATTTGTGCCCATAATATTAAGATGTAATCATGAGATTACATATATAAACTACATGAAGATACACGATAATGGGGAGATATCATGTAATCTGTAATTGTATAAGAAGTTTACAACAAGAAACAGCCAATTCATTCAAAAGGCAATAACTCCAAGATATGCCATGCATGATGGCTTAGTCCTCTTTCAGAACCAAAGGTTCTGATAGGCTGACCTTTTGAACACTAATTGTCACCTGCTATATAACCCCATGGCCTTTTGCTACCAGCAACTCTCAATATAATAAATCAGTGCAAGGTGGCCAGACTGTGAGGTGGCAGATATTGATGTTATGGTAGACCTATAAACTGTGAAATTTTGAAACTAAGGATTGGGAATAATTGTCAAAGGGATGGTTCTAGTGACCTACTGTATAGGGCATGTCTACCTTTTAAAGACCCTACAGCTTTTCAAAAATGGCACCACCACTTGAGGAACAAATACTTACTTCATACTCCTGTGGAAGGCATTTCACAAATAAATCAGAACATTCCATACATAAGGCTCAAGTCTTCTCATAATGTAAACTGCATTTAGTCCAACTTGGAGTGTTCCCATATGATTAACAATTTCAACAGTGTGTATAAGTCCAAAGTTCCAAATCTCTTCTGAGTCTCAAGGCTTTGGTCCTTTGCAAAAATCAAAATAGACGTTGCATCCTTATACTATACAATGTCACAGAATGAAGACTAGCATTTTAAAAGGAAAGTTTGAGCAATAGAAAGGAAAAGCTTGGTCAAAGCAAGAAAAAAAAATCGCAATGGGAAAACACTAAATCATGTAGCTCCAGGTCCACCAACTGGAGAATATGACTCCATGAAATGAACACCAAAGTGTAGAGATCTGCGTGCAGCCGCGCCTCAAAGATGGCGCTGGCTTCCACCTTCCACCCTCCCGACGGTGAGCGCTCTCTGTGATAAACAACTCCTTATTTGGCTAAGGCTAAGGATTTGGCTTGCTTCCACGCACCTGGACCTATCCATAGTACCCACGTGGCAGATTGGGGTTGGCTGCCCAGAAGCTATTTAGGTTGTGGGTTGACTTTCCCCGGGGTCAGAAGTCAGAAGATTGTTTCAAGGTTCCTGAATAAACTGCTTGGAGAAGAGCCTGGTGTTGCGTCTTCCTTGCTGGTCGAGGCGGATGGGACACCAAAGGGCATAGGCAGACCCTCTTCAGCCTTGCCGTCTACGGTCCACCTGGTCTTTCTCCCAAGTTTGCTCTACATATTGACTTCAGGTTTCTTTACACACACCCCACATTCTTGGCATCTCCAGCATCCTAGCAAGTCCATGGCAACTTCGACCTCAGCCTTATGCATAGCCTACTGTGGAGCTGACAGTATGGAAACCTACTACACATTACCTAACAACCTGGCTTTTCTCAAAATCTTGGTACAAGTCTTCGTGTCTCCATAATTCTTGCTGTCCTAGTTAGTGTTGGCTTTCAACTTGACCCAGCCTAAGTGTGTAGTTGTTATTTCCACACTTTGGCTCTTTTGTCTTTTGGGGGCCCACCACCCAGCTACCAAATACATACACACAACCGGAGGCTTATTCTTACTTATAAATGCCCTGCCTCAGCTTGGCTTATTT